TATGATGATGATGAGGGGATCCCCCTGGTGGATTGAGGGAACCATTTTTTTTTTTTTTGGTTCCAAAAATGAAACTCTAACCTGTATTCAAAACAATTTTTTTCGTTTATTTATCTGATTCGAAATTCGCTGTTTACATATTTACGATAAATTAATTAATTTATTATTATTATTATTATTATTATTATTATTATTTATTTTTTTTTTTTATTTTTTATAAAGAAATTTTCGTGTGTTTATTCAAGTTTTTTTTTTTTTCCAAACATTTATTCCAGATTCCAAACCTTATCCCTAAGAAATAAATGCCTGATAGTGAGGAACGTTTGAATAAGTTTCGTCTTTTTATCTCCTAAATAGCCCCCCACGTGAATTTTATATAAGTCAATCTTATTCCTAAACTGGTGATGACGACATCTATGTAGTAATCAGGATCAGGAGCAGTTTTAGGAAGGAGAAAAATTGTTATTATACCTTCTCTTATTAAATCCAAAGATGGCACATAATGTTCTCCAGGGGGAGGGGCGGTTACCCATTCAATTAGTAGTACTAACAAGTATCAATCTGATGCTGTTTAACTTAAATGCGTTTAGTTTGACTTTGTTATTATTATTATTATTATTTATAACAAGGAATTTCTAGATTTTTCCAAAGTTCCTTATCCAGATTTATTGAAAACGTATCCCGAAATACATTTGTAGGGGGACCTTTTCATTCGACGGAAATTTCTTCCTACAAGTTTTTACAAAAAAAAAAAAAATCCTCCTTTTTCATCCCTCGAGCAAAATGGCGTGGCTTTCATTGTTTTATATAATGACGACCGACCCCCACAATCTCTCTCTCTCTCTCGGAAAATTTCAATTTACGAATTTTTCTCATTATTATTATTATTATTATTAATGTCGAAATAAAAAAAAAAAAAGATTTATTTCTAAATTACAAGGAAGGAAGCAAGCAAAAAAAAAAAAAAGAACAAAAACGTTTTCTTATAAAAAAAAAAAAAAAAAAAATATAAAAGAAAAGATAAATAGCAGAAGAATAAATTATTGATTAAGCTTTTCTTTCTTTTTCAAATTAAGATTTTCTTCATTTTCCTTTTACTACACTCTTTTCACCCCACCCCCCCTCACGCTTCCCCGCACGGCTCTTTTCCCCGTCTCCTCTTACCTCCTCTCCCCCCTCCCGCTCTTTCATCATTACTACCATAAAGAAAAAAAAATCATTAAAATTTTCTTGTTTTTCAACGGTTTTTCTTTTCTTTTCTTTTTCCTTTTCTTTTTTTTTTTAACAATAATTATTTTATTCTTTAAAAAAAAAAAAGTGATTTTTTCATTTTGTTTTTTTTTTTTAAACAAAAGAATTCAATTTTAAATCGTTTATTTTATTGTTATTATTATTATTATTGTTATTAGCTGTTACCCTTGATAACTTCCGGTTATTAAATATTAATAAACCGGAAACACGACTCTTTAACAATTATCATTTCGGGAAAAAGCAATCATTTTTTTGTTTTTGAATTTTACGTACAATTATTTATATTAATGAAAAACAACCGTGTTTGTTTGTTTGTTTGCTTATGGGTGTTGGGAAGGGAGGGGGTGGGCGTGAGCGTTTGTTTGTACGTGTTTGTTTCACGATCGATCGATCGATGGATCGATTTAAAAAAAAAAATTTTTTAAATTTTAAAACCGATTATTTTAAACGGTTTTATTTTCTTTTTATTATTTATTTTCTATTCTTTTTCTCCTCAACGCGTTCTTTCCTTTTTTCCCCCTTCCCTCTCGCCTCACCCCCGTTTTCGTTTCCGGTAATTCCAAAAATTTTATTATTAATTATTAAAAAAAAAAAAAATTTTACGCCGTGAAAGTTAAAAAAAAAATTCTCGTTTCGAGTGCGAAAACCAAAAAAAAAAAAAATGTCGGACAAATTTGTTGTCTTTCTTTTGCTCGTTATTATTATTATTATTTGATAATAATAATGATAAAAATTTCGTGTTTATTTTTTTTTAAATAATAAAATTTAAAAGTTGTCGGGTGCAAACAGCAAACGGACCAAACAGGAAATAACGAGGAAATTAAAAAATCAAAAAAAAAGGTTAAAAGAAGGAAAAATTATAAACGATCAAAAAAAAAGGGAAAAGGAAAAGAAAGTTTTTATTATCATCATCATCATAATCATCATTACTATTATTAATATCATCATTATTATCATCATGTTTATTAAAATAGTTTAAGTATAACTTTATGTATTTTCGCCCCACAATTGAATATTTTGTAAAGAAAAAAAAAAAAAAAAGTTTGCGGTTGTGCGTTTTATGCTTTCCATAACGTTTCTCGTTTGTTTTCTGTTTGTTTTCCGTTTGTTTTCATCCCGTTACATCCGTTCACTGCATCAGTGCATATTACACATTTTTATACAAAAAATGAAAACAATATGCTCTAACTCTCATCGATCATTAACATGATTTACTATCATTATTATAATAATAATAAACAAACGAACGATGAATGCTTCTAATTTACGTAATAATAATAATATTTTTCTTTAAAAAATATTTTTTATTTATTAAAATAATAATAATAATAATAATAAATTATTATGTATATACGGGTTATAAAAAGTAATAAAAAGTGTAGAAAGAAAATTTCGTCATCATTCTTCTTTTTTTTTAATAATTTAAACTTCAAAGACCTCAAAGCTTACAATTTACTTTTAAGCTTTTTAATCTAAAAAATAACACGAGAGCAAAAGAGTGAAAAAATTTTCCGGACACTTTTCTAATTTTTTCATTTTCCCTTTTCTCTCTCTCTCTCTCTCTCTTTCATTTCATCTTTTTCACTTCCTCATTTTTTTTTCTTTTTGTTTTTTTTTTTTTTTTTTCATATTTCTCTTCTTTTACATTTTCCTTTTTTTCTCTTCGTCTTCTGCTTCTGCTTCATCTACCCTTTTCCTTTTTATCTCTCTCTCTTTCTAAAAGAGAGAGAGAGAGGAAAAGGTTTCTCGTTTGAATTTTGTAATGACAAGATTTTCATATTTTCTTCTTTTTTTCCCGTTTGATTTTCCAGTTTTTTTTTTTATATAAAAAAAAATCTCCTAAATTTTCTAAAGGAAAATTTAAAGCCTGCCTGACTTTTCTTTTCCCCCTCTCCTTTTTCTTCGCCATTTTTTTTTTTTTTGATTTGTTTTCTTTAATCTAATCCGTACTGAGACTTGTTATTTCTCTTTCTCTCTCTCTTAAAATTATTTTCTTATCTTCTTTATTAAAAGGTTTACATAAATTTTTTTTTTTTACATAAACAAAAAAATTATTAATTATTATTATTATTATTTTAACGAAAGGGTTGTTTTTATATGCATAAATTTTTTTTTTTAATCTTTTGTGTATTTAACAGAGTTTAAGGGGGGAGGGGAGGGGGAAATGTCATCACCACC